CACTTTAATGGCTCTAGCGGGTTAATTTTTTGAAGCAAAAAAAATGTTTTGGTATCAAGTTAAATGTGAGATTATTTCCCATCGCCGTTACTAAAGGCAAAAAAGCCATTTTCCCGCGTATTGAATAATTAAACGCTCTTGAAAATTAGGTAAAATTTCAACATTTTCCTAATGACCATTCACGTGTGCCTTAGGCGAAAAAATTTATGAGATAGACTTCTGTAGAAGCATTTTAGCTTCCAAACGAGACCATGAACACGAAAATCGGACACGTAGTTTCCAAGATATAGCGCGCTGAAAAAACGCTCAGTGGCCATCTTGGTTCTTGCACGGACCCCAGAGTGGTTCCCCTTCTAAAAGGGCTTCTTTTATAACCATAAGAATGATCCCTGAAAGCGGGAATTTCCAATCAAAAAGCGCAGCGTTTTGGCCATAATTTGATTGTGCCCACCGTACTATTACCTCAGCGCCATATGAGACGTAGCACCGGAGGGACGATAGGTAGAGATTCTGTGGTAGAGTGCCAAAATGCCTGGCAGCTCCAGATACTTACTTGATGGTGGCTTATGATTCGGTCCTTACCCTAAGGAGAACGCGTCACGTGGACTAATTTGGATGGCGTGAGTGAAGAGTGGAGGAAATGGGCAGAGCCCAGGGGAAAGTGGATTCGCACTTTTTACAGGGGGCATGCACGCGGATCCGTGGTAAAAGCTTCCACTTGAACCTTAAGACCTGGTATTTTCCATTAAAAGGAGTAGGCGCTAGAGAAGCACACGCTTTAGAGGTGAAAAGCCGACAGGTTGCAATTTTCACCTTTAATATTCCCCTTAAAAGCAGAGCAACGGCAAATGCGCGTTGAGCCCACCCTGGTGGCGAAAAAAGCAAACACGGTCGCACTATGCTCGCCGCGCAGTGGCCCGGGTTCCAAGAAAGCGGACAAGCCGATCCTTAACACCCCAAGTTTCAAAATTTCTACCTCTTAGTTTGGGGGGGGGGGCCTTTTCTGACGCCCTGTATAACAC